TGAAACATCATGAGGGATCCCAAGGCTGAAACATTCAACTAAGCCATCCCCAAATGCTGACCCAGAAAAACAGTGAGTGAGAGGTAAAATATAATCACTGCCGTAAGCCACTAAATTTTAGGATAATTTGTTATAAAACAATAGGTAACTGATACAACTGCCAAAGCTGAAAGTCAACTTTGTTGTCGCTAAACAAGCATGGTAATCAATTATGTCAATCTATATTGCATTACTGCTAATACAGCCGTCCTAGACACACCAACTTGCTCTTCCTCTCCACCCAATTTATCTTTGCCCCTCACTTAACCTAAATGCTTTCTCTTCATAAATACTCTAATGTTAAGGCATCAATACCTTTCACATTAAACCAGTTTAATGAAACTTTCTTCCTGAAAGCCTTTTCTAAAAAGTTTACACAGTATAATTCTATGTTGTTTGTCAGCAGGTACCCTACCTTCTCTTCTTTGGATTCTATTGACAACTTGCTCACATGGTCATATCTCACTTTATGGTGGTTTAATGAATGCCCTGTGGCGTTTGCCAGTGGCTTCTTCTTACTAGGAAAAATATGATTGAAGTTTCTATCTACTTGCTAATATTGTGCATAGGATAGGAACATTTCATACAGGAGGGAACCAATCCAAAGAGAAAATATGGAGGAAAAAAATAAAAGAATAAACTTCTTAAAAGTGGAATATTTTACTACAGTGTCCGGTTTTCCTCTAAGCAGAGGAGTTAATATTACTAAGCTCATTAATTGGGATAATTATTTTATGAAAGACAAGATATTCTAATGTTTGTCGTTTTTGGAAACATTTTCTATTGAAAGAATTTAAATTTGCATTAAGTAAATCTACAGAGGAGAACAGCCTGTTTAGTAAAGCATTTTATTATCTGAGTAACAAAATTAGATAGACATGTATTCTCTTATCTTTATAGCTTGATTAATTTATACTTGAAATATTATATGTATATGAAATTCTAGTATCTTCAGCTGTATCATAAAATTGTTCATGCTGAGTCTGAATGTGTCAAAAACAAATGACTGGCTTATCAGCATTTGAAATTATTCTGAATAAATTATCAATCAATCCCTCCCCCTCACAAAAAATAGCAGGGAATATTTTCAGATGAAATCATAGCAGTTGAATAACTTGTTTTAAAATATGTTTTCAGATTTCCTAAAATATGAGATGTAATTATCTCAAACTTTTCAGAATCTTTGGTATAGTTCAGTAATAAGTAATACTTCAAGAAACTACTTATAAAATTTCTATGTATTCTAAAGGCATTTATCTAGTCTCGATGGAGATTTATTTGCTTTTGGGTTTGTGATATTACATGCTATCATAAACTCATGGTAAAAGTAAACCTACTATTAATAAACAAAACAAAACAAATAAAAATAGTAAAAATAGAATATGTGGGCCTTATCTAAGGGATCAGCAAAGGTTGTTTTATTTGATAGTATTAAGTTAAATTGTAAGTGTTAAAGCTCACAAAATAGCATTTACTGAAAGAGAGGTTTGTCTACCACATAATTAGTGCTGGATACAGGAAGTTCAAATTCGGTTGCAGGGGACGCTGGTGCAGCCATGTGAATTGTGACTCTGCCCGGACTGCTTTTCACTCTTCCCCTCCTCACTCCATCTGGCTAACATCTCTTCATCCTTCACACCTCAGATCCAAAGTCATTTTCTCAAGACATCTATGGCAGGTACTGCTACCTGACTCCAAATATCCATTCTTTTCTTCTCTTTTATTGAAGGCTACCCTGTTCTTAATCAAGCACATTTCACATGACCATACCAGCTTCTCTTCAGTTGTAAGGAAACTGAATGGGATGGATAGGGATGGCCATATGACTTAGTGTTCACCTGTTAATGTAAGCAAACAGGTTATGTTAAGCTTTCCTTCCACTTACTAACTGGAATGCAAACCTGACTGCTGGAGCTCAAGCAACCATCTTTGATGAGAAAGAGGAAGCACACACTTAAAATGGCAGAAACAATAGAAAAGGAGCATGGACTTTATCAACTTGCAGCTTCCATGCATGACTTTGGACCACCTATATTCAGTAGTCTTTTTTATAAAAGAGTAGTAAATTTCTTTCTCATTTCTGTCACTCTTATTTTGTGATGCTTACATATGCAGCTGAACCTCATCATAACTAATATAACAGCCTTTGCTGACCAAATAGATATGATCATATTCCTCTTTTTTATAGGTTTATAGCCCCATATTTTTTTCTTTTATACAAGTTATCTCAGTGTATAATTATACATTTATGTTTATTCATTTTTCTCTGTTTAAATGGAACTTTCCAGAAAGCAGGGCCCATGTATGTTTTTGTTCACCTTTATATTGCCGATATCTATCATAGAGCTGATAAAAAATAAATGTTTCATAAATATCTGTTAAGTAAGGAATGATCATAGCCAATATTTATAATCTAAGACTCATAAGCTGAATTGGGACTTTAAATTTCTAATCAAACACTTTGAATAAAAATTATTATCCAGCACCATTTTTGCATTGGTTGGCTGTTCAGCAGTAGTAATGGATTTGTAACTATCCACCTTGTCATAAAACCTAACTGATGAGAGGAGTGGTAAGAGAAATACTCTGTTTGGTGGAATAATTACATTCATTGTCTATAGTTTCTAGATGTCTTAAATACATGTATCTTCACTTTCAGAAACTATTTCCATTGTGGAGATGGGGATATTGAAAAGTAATGAATATGTGTACATTTATAAATCAACAATGAGATAGAAATTTAACACTCTTAGGTGATTTATAAGTCAGTGGTCTCACAAATATTGCATTTTTAATTTTTGAGTTCATCTCTGTGAAATGATTATCTATCCATTCTGTACATACATTGCAGAGGGATCTGTGTGTGTTCTTTTGCTTCACAAAGAACATTCTGCCAGTTTTCAGAACTAACAGAAACATCAATTTATTCAGCAATCAAATTAGTTTTAATACACCTCTGTGAAAAGAGGAGAAACATCAAAGTCTTTTTGGTTACATGTTATCTAACCCTTGGTAATACAAAGGCATACAGCAGCAAACAAACTTTGTATCTGTAAGAGCAAGGTGAACCACAAAAGTATCAGTTAAATTAGGACTTTCTTTCTATAAATTCACATGTGACTAACTGAATGCAAGCCTTTTCAGAAGAGTGGTGTTTTTTTTTTATCCAATAAAAATAAAACATCTATAGAAACACCATGGTATCTACAGGTAAATTTTTATTTAACATATTTTATTCATGGGAACTAAAAAGTCAATGGGTATTCTGGAGATATGACTTAAAAGGTAGTTAGTAGATTGTTCAATTTTTTAATGCATTCAATTGGTCTTAATATAAGGATCCAGTCTTTTATACCTGGGAAGGTGAACATAGTGGCATAGAAATAAGGATCACTTCTTCTAATTCTGAACATTTTTATTTAATGGGATTTTTGTAAGCTTTTTCTTTAAAAAAATGCAAGGAATATAAAATCTCTGATGAGACATTTGAAATATTAAGAAGAAAGTCAGTAATGCTTCATGTAATTTTAATCCTCAAGTATAATCTAATTCTTTAAAAAGAAAACTAACCATTTCTTGCTATTAAATAGAATCTTATCCAGAATTTCCCATCAATTCCCTGATTAAAGAAAAATATATTAGCAAGCAATACATTAACAGGTGGTAAGGCGTGGCATGCAACCTTCTGGCTGCACAGAAGTAGGTGATAAAAGAGGAAATGTGAAAGTTATTTCTCCTTGGTGTCTACAGAAAATGGATATGTAGCCCCTGATAACTATTTTTGTATTGTTACATTAGAAAATATACCATTAAATGTGTAATTGAGTACCATCTGTCTATATGCAAGCCAAAATTATGATCACAGATCTGGACATATTAGGCAAAACTCTAATAACAGGGTGAAAGTCAGTGATACAAATCCTACTTTGACTGTTTCCAGCCTAGAGCAGTTTACAAATTGTTTCTTTTTTTTTCTTTCAATTATGATATTAGGCTGTATTTAAGTTAGAAAGAACTGCTGACCACAGTAGGGCATTGGAGTCAATAAAAGCTTCTTTAATTGCAATAAATATTTTAAAGGTAATTTAGGGATCATCGAGGACTAGGATTAATTGCTGTTCTACAGGAGCATTTTAATTAACAATTTTGAAGCCCCTGGCATCAGTGATTAAAGGCATGCTGTTCTCTTTTTTCACGCTTGTTAAGGGGAGTATACGTTTTCAGTTTGGGAGATAGAGGAATACTTCATGATTGTGGTGGTTAGACCAAACACCAATATCGGAATCACCAGAAAGCACTGAAATCTGAGTGTCGATATTCAATTTACCAGAAAGAACCTAGAATTAGAGAATTAAAGAAACTAGTTACTGATTCTCCATTTTCTTCTTTGAGAATATAGTCTTGCTAATGCCAAATATAGTTTGAGAAGCAGAAGAACGGACGCCTACAAATATTTTTAAGTGAAAATATATAGGTGCTTAGCATTCCAGAATGGTAATGTAAGCTGTAAGTATAAACCAATTCTGTGTTGTTATTAGCAAGAAATTGACTATTTTCTTCCCACTGCAGAGAATGTGAATGACAGCTATGTACCCACTCTGCAGGGCATCATTAATAAGAAAAATACAGAATAAGATATGCTGCTGTTTTGCATGGTGCTCTCTCTTGTCTGTGACCTTCACCCTATATGTTAGGAGCTATGGAAAGTACACACATGATGTTTCTTCTAATTGATCTGCAACACACTCTGAAAATCTGAAGTCATACTTGACATTTTGGACATGTCATTTGATTAAACTTATTATTGTCTTCCCTGGTACCAATCAAGCTGTGCTAGTTTCAGTGTTGCAAATGAGTCTCTCTCTCTCTCTCTCTCTCTCTCTCTCTTCCTCCCCCCCTCCCCCCCCATATCGATACACTTATGTGTTTTTCTTTCATTGTTGCATTAAAATAAATTACACTCACTTCTTTTCAGTATACAAGTTATCCCAAATTTTGTCAGTGAAAGCTCTGTTAAGCTGATCCGTGTGTCCTTGGATATATTTCAATTAGTTTTTGAATGCTTATTTACACACACACACACACACACACACACACACACACACACACGCTCCTATCTTAGGCTTGCCTTCTTTAGACATAAAATCAGCCATTTCCTCTAAGAATCTTTAAAAAACAGACCTGAGCACCAGGATGGCTCATTGCTGCTGGAGAACTACCACTAATTTGTGGTGCTCATTGGGCATAACTCCAGGTTGCTGCAGGTTCTATTTAGTTTGCACTAAAGAAAGCAAATAGCCCAAGACACATGCAAATAGATAAAGTAACTGCATTTATTCTAATGTTTATTAAACATGTGGACATGGGATATGTGGTAGGCACTGTTTTTGGCATTGAGCATTCAAATAGAGTGACTGTTCTAATGAAGCTTATACTCTATGACAAATGATACAGAAAGAAAATATGCATTTCTATGCAAATTGAAAATAATACATAAGGAAATATATATTTATTATATTAAAGATGATAGTGATAGGGAGTGCTGAGTATATGGGAGTGGTATTGCTATTTTATAATGGGTGGTCCAAGGAAGGCTTACTGAGAACTTGACTTTTGAGTTGAGACCTGAAGGAGATGAGGATATGGGTCAAGCAGATTTTGTGTCAGAGGGAAGATAGGGGTAGGGAGATTAGGGGAAGGGAAATGCTGTAGGCAAGGAGCAGCAAATATGAATCTCCTGAGGTGGAAGATTGTTTGACGTGCCCTAACAAAGCAAGGAAATCGGTGTGGCTATAGCAGAGTGACAAGGTGATCAGACAGATCTGCATATCTGTCACGTCCTGGGGAATACCCTAAAACAGGTTCTCTTTTTAGGGATCTTGTGTATCAAGACTATATAATCCAGTATTGGATTTACCACCTTGGCTGGGATACAGAATTAGACATTTCATCTGGAATACCACTTCAGTATATGAAAGAAGTAGATGGAATACATTGAATTTCTCTTTTATTTAATTCTTGATACCTACAGTGTGTTGACAAATATTATTTCTTGTCACCTTGGACAAAATTATTATAGGACCAGAAAAAAAGTGAGAAACAGTTATAGTATTCTGTAAATATTTTTGAATATGTGAATGAGTATTAAATGGATATAATTATTTCAAGATTATAAAATACAAGGAAAACTTCATTCCTTGTGTTTTATAACCTTGGGAGAAGAAAATCTCAACCTAAAAAGGAATTATTTTATTTTAGAAACACATATATTTTGTGTACCCTGTGTGTTCTGTCATAAGTAGTTTATCCATACGTATTAACTAGTTGACCTTTTATATAATCCAGTGTGCTAGGTTATTTGCTAATCTACTCCCAGATGAGTAACTTGCTTAAGGTGACACAATTTGTAATTGAAGGCTGGGATTTCATCTCAAGAAGTCTGCTTCCAAGTCCGTGAACAAACATAGTAGACTCTTCAAGTAAGCTGCTAGATTACGTTGCTTGTAGTAAGGTTAAACAGGAGCAGGGAGAATTGGTAGCATGAATATGAATATTTTTCTTCTAATATTCTGTTTTTGTTTACTAGTTACTGGAATATATTTTCCTTCTTCCTTCTCCACTCCCAAGCCTAGTTCAATGCCCAGAATGTAGTTCAGAAATGTTAAAAGCAGTAACTGGTTACCACAATTAAATTCAAAATCAGAGTTGATTTGGAAGAATATTTTAAAGCTTTTCACCCAAGGGATTTTCAATCCTGGAATCATTCTCCACATAGGCATGTTCTAATTAGATTCTGTAAATGCTGATATCACAGCTATTTCCTGTAATCATAGCATAACAGAGTAGGGGAAAAAATCTCAATATGAAAAAAATCAAACTCATTTTGATACACCATGATGAATAGAAGAAATGTTCTAGATGATTTTTTTTAACTAGGTAATGTAGTTAAATGTGGCTGTGTAAATGAAAATACTTTGTGAATCTAGATTTGAATGAATCTAGCCAGTCAAAATTTTAAAATAATGTAAACCAGTAAGAGATCATATCCTCAGTCAGTTTCAAACTAGCTTTCTATGATGGGAGGATCTCTCCTGGTAGACATGGTGGAACAGTTTTTGTAATCCACATTACAAATACCATACTGAAATTAATATGTAAATGTGTGCCTATAAATTATATTAATCAATATAAACTTTTTAAAATGAATGAGATAAATTTCTCCCCCTTTTTAAGAAAGATGTCCACAGTTGATGAATGTTAATGAATTGATCAATTTTTAAAACTAAGATCACATAAAAAATACACAATAGATTTGAAAACCAAGATTGCATAAAAGACATGCAACAGTTTATCTTTAAAGTGTCTTGTATATTATACAGAGTCTCTTGTCAAAAATAGCACCAGCCCTTACTGCTCACAAACCAACTCTCATCACCTCGCCCAAACACATTTCACGATTTAGCAACACAGCACTTGTCTTTCTCTAAATTTAGGTTGGCAATAAGTGAAGGGGGAGGAGAAAAAACTTTAGTATGGATCTTGCAAAGGAATAATTGGGGCCAATGAATTTTGAAAAATATATTATCAGTATTTGAGGAAAACATACAAACCAATGTTAAATATAACTGTCAAGTAAAAACAGCATCCTTCATTCTATTATCACTGGGTTTAGTCAAAACAGTCTTATCTTTCAATACATCATTTTTGATTCCTGAGATCTTATAAATGAAGTTAACCATATGGATAGCCACCATATATTGGAGAAATAGGAAGTTGTAATGAGCATAGATTGGTAAATAAGGGGAAGGGGAAAAGAGTGAACATTTACCTTGCTGGATTTTGAAATAATTCAGGATAACTGGCTAGCCTGTGTCTAGATGTAGAAACATGGGAGAAAGAGCTTATAGGTATGGCTCATTCTCTTAGGCATCAAACTTGGAGTTTAAATTGCAGATAGTTAAGAGTTCAAATGTCCTCGCTGCCTATTACCAGCTTTGTAACCTTGAGTGGTTGACTTAATCATTTCTAACCCACCTTAAAAAAATAAATAAAAGGAACAATAATAGCAGCTACTTCCTGTTTTGTGTATTAAATAAAATTTTAGCATATATAAAGCTCTTTGCAGCATTCTTGTATTGATTAAGTGACAGTAAGTAGAAGCTATTGGCATCATTATATAGTTCTTCCCTAATTCTACAATGAAAATGCTCCAAACTTATTTAACATTCTAATTTTGTTTATTATTTGGTGTTAAATTTAAAATATAGGACACAATATTCTTCTATAGTGTAATATTATTGTTATAAAGGTTTTTGGATGAATGTATTTTAAACAATCTGCACGTATACCCAGAAAGATATTAACAACCAGTTTTGTTCCACTGAACAGTAGGATTCAGTGATTTTACATGTTGGAAACTAGTAAAGACTTTTTTGTTGTAGTAGTCAAAGTTTAGATTATTTGACTTTTTATTCACACATTCAAATTGTTGTAGAGTAAATGAACATTACTTTTTTTGTTAGGGAAGATAAAAGTTACATACAATTCTCATCTTAAAATAGTATTTTTATCTTTCACTTGTATAGCACAACCAATATGGTAGAAAGTATTTTCAAATTGTAAGAAATCTAATGCTAGTTATTGATCATATCTTCTATTTGTTAAAGATAAAAAATATAGCAACTCTGTTATTCAATGGATTCCATTGGGCTAAATAATATTATTGTGAGCCTTTTATCATTTGGCTCCAACCCAAATAGATCTGAAATATAAAATCATAGAAAGAAGATATGATTTACACAACCACATTACTTTAAGTTTTCAGCAATATCATTTAAAAATCATGATTCATAATGAATGCATGCTGATGACTAAATTAAATGGTTTAAATACTGTTTTGTCATCAGCAGTCTTATTTGAATACCATCATGAAGGAAAGCAGAAAAATATCTAATATACTTTTACCAAAACAGTGGTTTTCTATTTTGGCCACATACACATTTTAATTCTTTAAATAAATAAATATGAATATCTCTAACAAAAGATAACATTTTGAAAAAATTAATCTGATTTGTTTTAATTTCCCCATTGTACCATGGTTGCGTTTGTAGCTTTTGACCTCTGTCACTGAATCATGATGTAGAAAATAAGGTAGAGAGTCTACTCCCTCTCCAGCAAGATGGGGGATGGAAGAAAGGAGGGCCAGGCATAAAGCCGATATAAGATATATTTAATAAAAAAGAAAGGCATATCAAGGTAGAGGGAGGATTTCTCATCATGGATTCTTGTTCCGTACTATGAGACAAGGCAGTTCTTTGTATCCCCTGTAGGATGGAAAGACTCATGAGTTCTGAGAACAAATCTCCCTGAGAGGACATGCCGAAAGCTGCTGATTTGAGTGCCAGAAGGCCTGAAACTAGGCCAGCCATAGGAAACATCACCTTAACCCAGCAGTAAAGGTGGAGGACAGGCCACTCATTCAGGAGGCTCTATAAAACTAGGGGCTTAGCTAAGGAAAATGTAACTGGCGGTGTTGACCAGGCTTCAACAGAGATCCCAAGTTATATTAAGCCCAGGTGAATGTTTGAATGCAAGAAAGGAGACCGATTATCAGACAAGCAAGGGACAGTGCCTTGGTTACAGAAGATGCAGAAGACAGCATACTCTAGGCCCCTGACTCTAGTCCTTTTTTATGAGTTTATATATGACCCATACCCTGCACTGTTATCTCAGAGAGTGGCCACGGCAGGAGATATAAAAGTCCTGGGGAATCAAAGCTTTATGTCAAGAAACTGTTTAAATTATCAGATTGGATTAAATTAATGTCCAGCTTCTTGAGGAAGTTTAGATGAATTGCATATTAAACAAACAAGTAACTCTGTTCATTTAAACCTAGTGTTAGTCACATTAGGGACATGATTACTGCAATGCAATTCTAACACTAACTACCTGGAATCAGTGCAGACTTTACAGGGTAAGGACACAGGCATCCACAAGACTCTGCTCACTTCAGACACCAGTTGAAAGCTCTGAGGTTGCCAGGCTACCTACATTTCTGATCAAGTGGCTATAAATGTGGAGCTTTACATTTTCCACTGAGGTTCAGTAATTCACTAGAACAACTCATAGAATTCAGGAAAGTGCTATACTTGTAATTATAGTTTCAGTAGAAAGGACACGAATAAGGACCAGCCAAATGAAGAGACACATGGGAGGGTCCAAAATTCAAAGCTTTTTTGTTCTCAGGATGTATCATACTCCCAGCACATCAGTGTATATCATCAACCAGGAAGTTCACTTCAGGTGTCCAAAGTTTTTATGGGAGTTTTATTATGCAGGTATGACTAGTTGAATCATTGGCCAAATGATTGGACTCAATCTGCAGATGCCTCCTCTCACTGGAGGTCAGGAGTTTAGGCAAATATTACATGGATCAAAGCTCCAGCCCACTAATCACATGGTTTATCTTTTTGACATGACCATCTCTTATCCTAAAACTACCTAAAGGTACACCATAAGTCACCTCAATAGCATAAAATCAGGTGAAAATAATAAAGACACTCATCAATTATAAGGGTTTAGAAAGTCCCTCCTAGGAAGGGACCAAGATCAAACAAATTATTATACAACAATTACACATTTTAGAAACTATATTACTATTATATTTTTACAAAATGCAATTGTTTCTTGAAACAAATTTATACCATAAAACATTTCTTATGCTATACATATATGTACAGTTGAGTACTGATATATATCTATATCAGTGTATACACATAAATATATGAGAAAGTATGTAGTAAGTAGAATGGTATCATTTGCGCATGTATATTGTATAAATACAGTCACACATGTTCTGCAACAACAAAAATAGGGGACACAAATGACCACTTAAACCGTAAAGGGATTCATCACAATGAGTGTATATCCCCCTAGGAATGTGAATAGGGAGAATGGAAAAATTTATGCTTCTCAAGAGGTGATCACTCTGTAATGCTGAATGTAATACTACTAGTTGATAAAGACACTTTTCATGCATTAAAAAGTACATGTACTTTTCATACAACAAAGCCCTTATGGCAGAGCGGGTCATTTATCTGTTCTTGCCTAGGAGGAGTGATATATTCTAACTCTAGAGGTAAACTGCCTGGAGTGAACTTAGTGGGACTCAGTATTTGATCTCCAGTGTGGTGCTTCCCTGAGAAACAATCTAGGGTGGTTTTGAATACATTGACTTTTGCCTTATGAGCTAACTTTAAAACCTAATTCTCTCCCATGGAGAAGATGTAATTTTCCTGTAAACATGCATATGTGACAGGTTTGAGAACATCAAATTCTGGTCTGTCTTCAGCAAGTAATTATAGCAAAGAAAAGTAAATAGTTGTACATTTATCCTAAAGTGAAGTGGTCAGATGACAGATAAAGAAAATATCTGTTGCATTATCCATGACATTTTTGGGATATAAAAATTTTATACTTTTTATAAGATATGAAAGCTGTTTCTAGGAATTTGATTTCCCTATTTTCATGTTTTTAGGGCAACCCAATCTCAGTTATGTTAAGTAACATCTATTTGAGGATTCCTGGGAGGTTAACACTGTGTTTAGGAGTTGGTCTATAATTTTATAATTGGAGAAAATCAAGTGGTGGCAAAACACACACAATCCTTGTTAAAATATTTTTGTCAGGCTATTGTAAATACTCTCAGAAAGGGGTGTATACAGTTGTATTAGGGTTCTGTAGAGGGATAGAACTAATAAGATAGATAGATATATAAAAGGGAGTTTAAGTATTAACTCACAAGGTCCCACAATAAGCCATCTACAAGCTGAGGAGCAAGGAGAGCCAGTCTGAGATCCAAAACTCAAGAACTTGGAGTCCGACATTCATCACAGAACTAAAATGTAGGCTTGGAGGCTAGGCCAGTCTAGTTATAGGTCTAGAAGCAAACAGGGGTCTTTTGGGTGGCTCCTGAGGAAAATCAATATCTTGCCTGGCAACTGCCTCAGGGGAGGCCATCACTGTTGCCTCAGGCAGTGCAAGGTTTGTTTCCTCAGAGAGGTGGAAAGGCTGATGGCAGTATGGGTCAGGTCAGGGAGGGGATGTTAACACTACTGGGGATGGGGAAGCTGTTTCTTCTGCCAAAAGAGGTTCATCATAGTTTATATACTCAGAATCTCCAGCTTCATCAGGGTCCTCCCAGATGTCCCCATTCCAAGTTGCACAGTCCCTTTCTTTTCCAATCAATGCCCTCACTTTAACAGTAGGCACCTGCCAAGGCTGTGCATGCGCCTTTTATTGCAGATCATCCACTCACATGATAAGAGCTTGTGTCTGTTTTCCCACAATTTCAGCTCTTTCTCTACAGGAAATAAGACTTTTACTCAGGGCAGTCTTCACAGATTTGAGTCTCAGTATCTGCTTCTGAAGCTAGGAGTTAGCATCCCTGAGTTAATAATTTTCTTTCATCAGTTTGTCCACTGAACCTAGTAGCAACCAACAAACTTCATTATGTTCCTTGGTTCTCCACATATGGTCAAAGGTATTATGTAAAGAGTCACTAGCCTGCTTGCCTCTCACTACCAGGGAATCAGAAATGTTAAATGCATTTATTTTGCATAACTCTAAACGGTTCACGCCAAAGCTATCAGTGTTCTCCACACTATTAGAAGTAGAGTCCTTAGCATTTTTGGGTCTAATCATACTAAGCAGCCAACTCCAGAAACCTCAAAACCAACAAAAGAACTCCATCCTTAATAGCAGTTCATAGTATAGATACACTATTTTGGTCAATTTGTATTTTTGTAGAAAGGTCACTTGCAGCAGAGCAGCCTCGCTTCTATTTCAGTTATGCTTCAGAGAATTTGTGTGCAAGTGTCTTCCAGAGCATCAATTCCTTCTTTGTAAAATGATGAGTTTGGACCAAATAGTCTATACATTTCTTTCAGCTTGAAAAATCTATAATTCTGTAAATTTTCTAATTTCAAATACTCTTGTTTTGAAGTGTTATTTGAATGATCAGTTTCATGAATTTCAATGAAGATGAATGATTTCTATGCATAATGTTAATCAGAACTAATAATACGATTAAAAATAATTGTTCATACTTATCTATTTTTCAGAATGAGTGAGTGATATTTCATGTCATTCATACACAAATCTTTAGAAGCCAATTTTTTATTTCCTTTTAAATACAAAGATTTATGTAGAATACTTTTTGTTGATTTTATATACTTGGAAACAATGATTTGTATTAAAGGCTTTTTTATAAATTACCCATCTTCTATGATACCATAATGTAATGGCAAATATCTCTATTATAGTATAACACATTTTATTACAATTATTTGTGTACTTTTTCCCCCTCGCAAATGTGAGGACAATACAACTCTCAGCTTTATACCTTAGCATCTGTAATAATGCCTGCTGCATGCTAATGGCTTCATATCTTTTAAGTGAATACATTAATGAATAAAGACTGACTAGTGTATCATCATAGATGCCAAGATTTGAGATATTTACATTTAGAATAAAGCAGTTCAATTGGCTGATTTTAATAGTGTGCGTTGACTTCCTCTGGTGAGCTGTAGTCTGTTTTCTCAACAGACCTTCATGCTGAGTGACAGGTTGTTCTTTAGTCATACTGTGTCACATATTATGTCACATATTTAAAATATTAGATGTGAACTAAGAAGAGTATTTTGGATTTAATTCACTCAGAAGGAAGCCGGATTGCAATGAGTAAGGAGTAAACATGTTTTTCCACAAGCAAGTTCCACAAGCTTTTCCACCTGAAAGACAAGTGGAAACAGTGAAGATAGACTACCTATTTAAGAATGGTAATTGTGAAAAACAGAAGTCTAAGACAGTAGAACAGAGGTTGAACATATATGAAAGGCACTTGTTTGTAAAGCATTAAGTGCTGTCAGTAGCGTATGTTTGAAGGTCAGGTTCAGGATCCAGTCGAGATGCTGGAAGGACCCAGGGTAAGCAGTGGAGTCACATACCAGAGTAGGTAAAAGAAACAATGACAAAGACATACTGATATCCCTAGGAAAGAATATATGGTGAAGTTTCTGAGAAAAGATAATTTAAAAACAAGAACATATATATATAGAAAAGAGGACAAGTTGGAGACAGTCACTTCTAGAAAGGAAAGACAAAAAATGAGATCCATGACTTCTCTATGTAGACAATGTTCATAGTCTATTGCCATTGGTAGTGACTTGCAAGAATATCTCTCCTTGCCTAATATCATGAAAGAGTGAATATTATATTATCCTATTGGAAATGTCCACAGCAAGTGGTTATTGTACAATCAACATACTCTCTTACAAAATGTCTACAGTTATTAAAATATTCATCAGTGAAACTTATTTACATATCATCTTCAGTTCTAACTATATAACAGTTTTCAATGTTTTCCCCAATAGTGTTTTCCCTGTGACTATCTATAGAATAGAAATAAATTATCACTTGGCAGTAAAAGCAACTGGCTACCATTTTCAGAATTATTTTCATTTTCATGTACTAGCCTAATTATTTTTCACTTAAATTATAATTTTATAATCAAAGAGCATGAAGACAATGAACTATTGGCTTAAAGTAACATAATTTGTTCTTATAACTTACTACTTTTAGATGTATTTAATTTGTATGTTTCTTTCACTGGATTTTATAATTTTCTCTTTGTGCCCTCTAAGTTACATTAGTTTTTCTGCAATGCTTAGCAACAGACAATCTGTTGCAGACCTATAAAACTAGATCTGAAAAACATAAAGGCCCATCTTTTTAAGAGATAAAAATACTTTGGAATAAAAGAAGTCCTGTAAATATTAACTTAATAAATTATTTTTAACTTTGATGGTATCTGTTTAATAACATTAGCAAAAAAAAATGTGAACATGGAGTATTTGTTAAGGTTAAAAGAAAGTCTAGTTAGAATTTTGTTTGGTAAAACTTCATAAAAAGAATAGGTAGATAAGTAGATAAAGATAATAAGCTATTCAGTGCAGACAACATAAATCAACTCTTAAATTAAGCAGTTAATTTTTTTAAGAACATATGGGAAAGTTTAAGCCAGGCAGAAAACAAAAACCAAGCAAGCCTAGAAAGAGGAGAACTTTCGAGAACAAGTGGCTTTTACATAGGAAACCAAAGTTGGCAGCTGGCATCTGTTACTAATTCCATCCAAATCTTATGCTATAATTAAGAAAAAGTGGTTTGTAAAATTGCCTCAGTCAGCACTTCAGAGAATATAAAATTTATTCATCAAAGGGAGGGCAGGGAATAGGAAGATAGCTATATGAGCCCTGTGGACAGGAGATTTTCTAACATAGCTACAGATTTGTTTAAAGTATTTTAGGTGGGGGACTCCCTCCTGTATTACCCTAGCACATCAAGATCTCTACACTTATCTCCTTAATTCATTACTGTATTTCTGTTTTCTTCGCCTGAGAGATTGTAAGTTTTTGAAGCATAAACTGTGTCTAATTCTTACTTATATTATCATAGTTACGTATCACATAAAAAGCCTCCAAAACAGTTTTTTAAATTATTAGCTATGCTAATTAAAATGTTATATCTCAAACTAGCAAGATTAAATTTGCTGCAATATCATAAGGGAAAAGTGGGACATAGGAGACAGCATATTCTATTCATGCATTTTGCTCTCTGCCACCTCATATCCTATGCACAGTCTGATCTGTCTTTCTTCCCATGTAAATCACAATGGAAATATACGCTGTTATCTTAAATGAATCATAGGAAAAAATTTGGAATGTTATTACACTTTTAAACTTAGTGAATTATGTAAATCTTTCCATAAAAATAGCTAAGATTATATATAAATACACAGTATATATATATATATATATGTATGTGTGTGTATATAGATATATAAATATACACACACATGCATATACAAGTAGTTTTTCATTTAGTAACAAAGCTCATTGATTTAAAATGTGCACAGTCTTTTTCATAAAAGTTGATTTCTTGATATCAATTCTTTCCTGATCAGTTTTCAAGAGATTAAAACTTATCAGCTATTTTCAGATAGATTTATTTTTCTAAATTTTGCAAATTTAAGCTTTCATGTTCATTAATAACTCATTCCCATATTAATACAATCAGAGGCACCTGTACTAGAGCTGAGAATTAGACTTAGGCCTTTGCAATTCCAAATATGACCTTCTTCTTCTATTCCATGCTTTTTGGTGTTTATAAATCTAGGGTAACATGACATTGAAAAGTAGTAAAGGCACATTTGTTAACACATTTAAGCTCAGTTAAAATATTTATACCAAAATTTTAAGAACTGTAGAAGTCTTCTGTAAGAGAGAGTCTGGTTCTCTGCCTGACACATAGGCTCTTACTAGGCATTTATTAACTAAGCCAATTTGGTTTTTATTTACAAAAGAAGTAAGTCATCCTAATGAATATTCCTAGTTCTTTTTTAAAACACATATGACTCTTTGTTAGTATTTCTATAAAAATAGTCAGAGGGTGAGGTCATGTAAGAATGTGAAACGAATGACATATGATTACATACCACCTTTCACATATAGTTCTACATCTAATGCAGTGCGAAATTAGGATTTGCTCTTTGTCTCTTTTGCTTGCTCTCTCTCACTTCTGGTTTTTAAAAAGAAAGACACACCTATACTTTTGATAACATTTTAAACATCTTTACCATACTACCTCTAGTTTCTGTACCATTTCCACCATATTTTTGTCTCTTACATTCCACTCTATGGTACCTCTTTTACTCTGGATCACAGATATAGGCCAATTCAAGCCTCAGTTAAAAAGGTAACAATAAGAATGAAGGCTCATAACTCTTTAATGTCTGTAGTGCAAAGTGTAATAACATATGTTATATCTTGGATGGAGGAGGCCACTTGAATCGGCCCACAAATTACAATTTGAACTTTCTATTTAGGCCAGATGAGTCCACTGAGATAGGACGTTAATTTATTTGAAATGATATATATCAAATTATTTGAGGTGGGGGAAATGAGAAAGAAGATTCCAAAAAAAAAAAAAAAAAACCTAAGCATCATGTAAAAAGCACTGGGTAAGAAAAATAAATGAAATATAAAATCACTTAATAAGTATCTTGCATTTAAAATTTCAAAGAAGTTTACAACATCTCACCTAAATATAAAAATGTTTTCCTTTTGATGTTTTTGTGAGATCCTTGACACAACAGCAATTGAAATTCTTAAGTCTAGAATGGACGATTTCTAAGAAAAAGGTTCTTCTAATGGTATGTTTATAATTACAAGGGTATAGTTTTTAATATGTTTATAAAATATGATTAGATCAAAGTCATCATTTTGATGATGGAACATGAAAGCACTAACTTAGCTTTGGAATAAAAAGTATTTTTCTTCCAATGGAACACGATAAAATAAAATATGAGTCTTTTGAAGGACCAATAACACACAACAACTCTGGAATGACAGTATTGTGTCATCTTTTATTGTCTTATAATATCCTTACTATTATATGTGTACACACACGTACATGCACATACATGCATGCACATGTGCAAACATACACACTGTTTCCACCACACCCACATTCCTATTTAATAATGAGCAACAACGTCCTTTAACCCTCTTATTGTTTAAATATGATTAGCTGATATTACCCACATTTTCTATCAGTTAGAATATTTTGAAGCAATTCTTAACTCCTTTAGAGAAATAAAGG